AAGACTGACAACACTTGTGGCAGGGGAGGAGCTTTCGTGAGTCACTGCCCACCTCTTTGGGTACCTGAAGAAGATATCTGAAGAAGGGAGCAGTGACTCACGAAAGCCACAAACTGTGTTAGTCTTCAAAGTGCTCCCGAACTCTTGCTCTTTTCTGCTGCTACAGGCAGACAGACAGACTACAGACAGATCTTTCGGCTCTGCTCCTGCAGAGGGCAGGGGGCTGGACTAGATGACCTGCAAGGTCCCTTCCAACTCTAACATTCTATGGTTTCTATGAACTATCTCCGTGGAAGGCACTGCATCTAGCCGTACAGAATGGAAATCCAGGTATCGGAAGAAGTGAGCCGTGACTCACAAAAAGAGAGCCAGTTTGGTGTCGTGGTTAAGTGTGCGGACTCTAATCTGGGAGAACTGGGTTTGATTCCCCACTCCTCCACTTGCACCTGCTGATGTGACCTTGGGTGAGTCACAAGCTCTGGCACCGCTGTTCCTGAAAGAGCAGTTTGTGTCAGAGCTCTCTCAGCCCCACCCACCTCACAGGGTGTCTGTTGTGGGGAGGGGAAGGGAAAGGAGTTTGTAAGCCCCTCTGAGCCTCCAAGTGAAGGGCGGGGTATAAATCCAATCTCTTCTTCTTCTTCCTCCCCGGCCACAGATTTTGTTGGTCTTGAAGGTGCTGCCGGACTCCGGCTCTGTTCAACGGCTAGAGACGGACTCACACAGCGACCCATCCTGATCTATTCCCAGTACTTGGTTTGTGATTTCTTCCTTTATCGGAAATAGTTTAAAAACATTTCCGGTTTAAAACCAATGATAAAATAGGAGGTGCTGGCAGCAGTGTTCCCTCTAAGCTGAGTTAGTGTGAGCTAGCTCACAGTTTTTTAGCCTCCGACTCACACATTTTTGCCTTCGCTCGGGAAGGGATGGCTCCAGAGCAAACCAATTTACGCAGTAGCCAAATCGCTCGCTCACAACTTTAATGCCAGGAGCTCACAAAGTAAAATTCTTGCTCACCAGACTCCACAGCTTAGAGGGAGCATTGGCTGGCAGGCCTGCCAGTTCAAACGCCCCCTCCCCAAACCCCTGGCAAAGAGGCAGGCCTGCCAGCACCTCCTGAAGATCTCCAAGGAAAGACCCCCCTCCTCGCCTCTTCAGAGAGCCCCCTTCCACAGAGCTGGAGCCACCGTGGAGAAGGCCCCGGGCTCTAATCGATGTCGGACGGGGATAGCCAAGAGATGGCTGCCTGATGACCGTAGTTGGAGCACAGGGACGTATGGAAGACGGCGGGCAAGTCAACCTGGCTCTCCCCTGTAGAAAAGGAAGGAGAGCAGAGCCTCTTGCATCGGGGAAAAGCACTCAGGGCACAGGACAGCCCAACCCTTAGCGGAAGAAGAGACGTGTGGGGTCCAGCCCCCGGCCTCTCCACGCCACCAGGGTGTAAAGACCTGCCCTCGCCTGCCGCCCAGGTGACCTGTTCGTCCACGCCCCGTCCGGGCCGCTTACCTCCGCTTCGTTCTGCAGGTCGTTCTCAGCGTCGCCGCACTTCTTCTGCGTCTGCTCCATCTGCAGCTCCGCGTCCTTCTTGACATACCGGTTCTCCATGTCCGTCTTCGCCTTCATCTCCTGGAGCTGGTCCTTGAGGTACGCGATCATCTCGTCCCGGTTCTGGGGAGGGAGAGTGGCGTAAGAGTCCGAGGGCTGTCGGCGCATCCTCCGTGCGGGAGCTGGCTCCTGGTGTGCCTCGCACGGCTACGGGTGGGACTTGCGCCCCCATACCGATTTCTGTGGGGAACTCAGTGGCTGTGTTCTGTTTGGAGGCGTTCAATTAACACAGGGCGGGCGAGCTTCCTGTCTATCCCTCCTGTCTGGAGAAATCCTACTGAGAGCCAGTTTGGTGTAGTGGTTAAGTGCGCGGACTCTAACCTGGGAGAACTGGGTTCGATTCCCCCACTCCTCCACTCGCACCTGCTGGATGACCTTGGGTAAGCCACAGTTCTTTTTTTTTTTTGGTTAACAAAATTTTTATTTTTCATTCATTGAGAATTCATATAGCTAACACACTTAATAGTTTCCATTACGTTTCCTTCACCCTATTCCCAATACCTCCCCCCCTCCTCGGCTTCCCACAATGCTTTCCCCTTTTTATCTCTTTTTTCAGTATAACATTAAATATTCTCATTTTTCTTAACATTAAAATCTTTAGCACAAGTTCTCTCGGAGCGGTTCTCTCAAGGGCAGTTCTCGAGAGAGCTCTCTCAGCCCCACCTACCTCACAGGGTGTCTGTTGTGGGGAGGGGAAGGGAAGGGAGTGTTTGTAAGCCGCTCTGAGACCCCTTTGGGTAGTGAAGGGCGGGGTATAAATCCCATCTCTTCTTCTTCTGAATTAGTTGCAGCAGCAGCAGTTCAGTTGCATCCGCTGTGAGGTTATGGAATCTACAAAGCATTCCTACATTGTGTAATAAATTTTAGTTTCTTAGGATGTCCTACATCAGAAGCAAGCAAATCCACCTTGCAGAGTAAATCCACTTTATGGCC